ATATTTTTTTTTTTTCCTCAAATCTATCAAAGATTTTTTTTTCCTGACAGGGTTTTACTTTATGGCTCACTCTGTGCAATTGTAAAATCATAGCTAACTGTAGCCTCCAACTCCTGGGCTCAAGGGATCCTCCTGCATTAGTCTCCTAAGTATCTATTTAGGACTAAAGGTGTACAGCATCACGCCTGGATTATTTCATTTTTATTTTATTATTTTACTTTATTTTATATTTTTGTAGTAACAAGAGTCTCCAGCTGCTATTGAACTCCTGGTCTCAAGAGATCAGCCTGCTTCAGCCTCCCAAAGTTCTAGGGAGGCTTCAGCCTCCCAAAGTTCTAGGATTTTAAGTATGAGCCATAGAGCCTGGTCCAAAGACTGTTTTTAAAAATATGCTTCATAAGGATGGCGCCTGTGGCTCAATAAGTAGGACACCAGCCCATCTACTGGAGGTGGCAGGTTCAAACCTGGCGCTGGCCAAAAATTGCAAAAAAAAAATCATTAAATTTGGGCAGCGCCTATGATACTGAGTAGGGCGCCAGCCCCATGTACCGAAGATGGCGGGTTCAAACCCAGCCCCGACCAAACTGCAACAAAAATAGACAGGCATTGTGGTGGGGGCCTGTAGTCCCAGCTACTCGGGAGGCTGAGGCAAAAGAACTGCCTAAGCCCAAGAGCTGGAAGTTGCTGTGAGCTGTGACACCCCAGCACTCTACCAAGGGTGATGAAATGAGACTGTCTCTAAAAAAAAAAAAGCTTCATAATATCGAATTTTAAAATACATGTATACAAATTTCTCCTCATTTAAAAGTGAATTATGTTTGTAATTTCCCCTTTATAATATTTTTTCCAATTTTAATATCAGGTGTATCCAGATTAAGCAGAATGATTTTGAAGTATTTCTTCTTTTTCTTTTTTTCTTTTTTTCTTTGGAGACAGGACCCTCACGCTGTTCCCCTCAGTAGAGTGCTGTGACATCATAGCTCACAGCAACCTCCAACTCCTGGGCTCAAGCGAGTCTCCTGCCTCAGCCTCCCAAATAGCTG